AACAGCTGCTGAATGGAATGGATGTGACTTAGGAATTGTGGTCACAGATGAAGCTTTAAAATCGTTTCCCAGTTCAAATGTGTAGAACAATGTGCCTGAACATGATGATGCAAGAACTAAAATTAAAACAGCAGTTAGATTTGTATTGACCCTTTTTACCAAAATCTGAAAATTGAAAACCGGTAGGCAGGCCTAGAGTAAAAAATTGCAGATGAATTTATAAAGCAACTTAGTTCAATTGATTGAAATATTGAAATTGTGAATGTTGAAAAGAAAACACGGAAAACAAGTATACCTCCATTTGAAGATAGCTGGGAAGCTAACACATTTGCACTTCCTGCAAATCCACAAATAACACAATACTCCTAATAAAGGAAATAAAAAACTCATTTTCAACATTTCAGATTAAAAAAATAAAACACAGACACAGACATTAATAGGGTACATTTAAATCTTCATTAAAACTTCAGGAAAGTTTGAAAACCAGAATAGATATCATTGCCAAATGAAACTCATAAAGTATCTAAAAAAACATTGGCATTAACTAAATAGTTTGTAAGTTATCTCATAGGTTTTCTGTGTGTTTGATGAAGACATTTTTCCCTCTCTGGGCTTTACCAAATTTAAATTTCAAGAAAACAAAGTTCCTTATCAAAATCAAAATTTTTCTAAAGGGACAGTTTGCATAAGAAAAAAATTTGCAGATTATATAATTATCAAAGTATTCCAGATTGCGTTGTCTATTCTGACGTGACAGTGCTCGATGTGCAAAAGCACAGAGCAATAGATATAATAAAATAGAATATAATATATATAGAATATATACTAGAAATGAGACATGTTCTCCGTTACTCTGAGTTTCGTGCTTACGCACTCATCAGACAGACTAATGAGTGCGTCTGATGAATGCGTAAGCACGAAACTCGGAGTAACGGAGAACATGTCTCATTTCTAGTATATATTCTATATATATTATATTCTATTTTATTATAATTATCATAGTATATAGTTTTAATAATTTTATATAATTTTAGATACTGTAAATATTTATTTTTTTATTTTTTTTTAAGATTTTCTTTTGTTCTACCAATTTATGTTGCAGGTCCACATAAGCCATTTTGAGGCTGCCATTTTTTAACCTGCTTTACAGAATAAATGATGAATGTATGTATGTTGGGTGTATGTATGTAGCTGATAAAAAGGGGATGAAATATACTTGTTGTTTATGTACTTGGCTTCTCAAAAAAGTATTTGATAACATAAAATACATTTATCATTAAAGAAAGGATTTCCAGGTCTTTGTTATTCCCATTTCATTATATTCCACTACAGATAAATTGATATTCCACTACAGATAAACTGACAGGGGTGTAGCTAGTAGAGGGTGTAGGGGTGTGACAACCTCTTCCTTCAAATTTTTCATGAGTATGTCGGTAAATTTTTAGTTGGTGCAAAGATTCCCTGGTTTGTCAGTAAACATGCCTATCAGTAGGTGAAATAGCACCTAAATTTCATATCATCTATGTCTTTGTCCGTAAATTTTACTACTCATGAACCCCCATCCCCTAGTCTGAAAGTCAAGCTACTGAAAGGCCTTTTTGTGATTAATGATACAAAGATATTGCACCAGCAATTTACCTCATTGACAAAATTTCCATCTCCAGATAAAAGCTAAAAGGAATACAAATAAATGGAATATCAGTAGTTTATATATTATACCAATAATAATGATAATTTTTGCAAATAGACAAAAAGCCTTCAATAGACCCTTGATGATTGACAGGTGAAAAATTCTAAAAAAAAGGTGAAAAATGTCCATTAAATTGTATCAATGTTAATGGTGTACTTTCGGTTTCCAGTCAAATTTTCAAGATGGATTGTATTGCCCTCTAAGTTTACCAGCCTTGTAAAAATCTTATCTTAAGTAAGAAAGCAAAATATTCTGTGTGAAATCTTTTTTTGTAAAATTGAAATAGAAAAATGCACAACTATCAAACCTCACTTCTCTTATTCCGTGTTTTCCCTTCCTTATCTGTCATTTCATCTAAAATTAAATAACCATAAAAAAAAGAAACCTTCCTAGACATAGTTTTTTATTTGTTATATGGCCTTATTCTGGCCATAAGAACTCAGCCCAAACATGCTTCTGTACACTTGAGTTTGAATATCTTTCCAAAATTTGATTTACAGACTCTAGCTGTGACAAATTGGAATTTTTAAATATTTTTCAAAAATCATCAATTTTAAAAGCTACTAAATTTCCACCTGCAATGGATAATGTAACTGTATGTGCGTAAATATTTCCCAGCCTTATCAGCAAAGGCTACTATCTGCTAAATTACTACTTTGAGTTAAATTGGAATCTTCTCCCCCCTAAACAATTAGGTGCTAATGCAGTTTGGTACCTCTTGGACACTGATCCTTGACCTAAAGCCTATCCTTATGTATGGAACCACATGCTGAGACTGTGCGAAACTGCAACAGCCCCAACAGTTATGATTTTCCTGAAAAAACCTAACGGGGGGGATTGAACTTCAGCATGATAAATTTGGTGCAAATAGGCAACTAGTTGGCTCCAAGGTGCATCCTGTCCCCCGTTCCCACTTATAAATGTCTTTATACCTAGATCCTACTCATTTCAATGGATTGTTAATACTCACCATCAATAAGGGCTAGCAGCTTCCCTGATGCACAAGAGTCACTCGATTTCGCATCATACTGAAATTCACTATTTGATAAAAAAGCATGACCCATATTATTTAATATTATTTACAAATTAGATAGGTTAATTTAACACTGATGATTTAGTAAAGGCTTCTATAACAGTATTCTCTGTACATAACCAAACCATTACTAAAATCAAAGATGCTTTTAGATTGAGAAGAAATTTAACATGCTGTCTTTTCATGTAGCACTTGGTACTTAGCTCATAATTGATTAAATTAAACATTAAGATTTCTTTGATGAAATGCGTGCCAGCAAATCTGATGTTACTCTGTTTAGCAGATTTACTTTTTTACAACAGAAATAAAAATAAAGCAACCTTTCTGCAATAATTTGTTTCAAAGTCTGTTGATAACCTTGCTCCTCCAGGAACTGACATATCATAAAAAGTGCTCTCTTTTTTCTCTCCATAATTGTACATTGATTCGCGACTGGAAGGTCAACTGCGGATGAAAACAAATGAGGTCAACGTGACTTCGCTTCTGCTCACCTCCTTTTGAAAGCGAGTCCAATAAATAATTGCATCCTTGTTCCTATGGAATCCTTTGCCAATGTAAACAACTACAGAGCACACACAATAGTAGGTCCGAAGTGTTGGATTCGTGTTGAATAATTAATATTTCATTTCAAATTTATGTATCGCTATGAGTGGTAGCACAGTGGCCAATACGGGTCAGGCTTTAGTGAGCTTTGACTCCAGAGTCAGTCTGGATGCAATGCAGGGTCTTGTTAAGTCACGAAGTGATTTGTTCATGACGGCCTACCACAGAAGACAGGAGATGCTGGAATCAGCTAAGGTCAATACTGTGTGGGATCTAAAGCCAATTGACTTCTCAGTGAAGATGTATCAGCCAAACCCTCCGCCAAGAAATACAAAAGAGTCAATGGTAAAGAACTGGAGTGTATTGAAATTAAAAAACAATTTGTCGTCAAAGGAAATTAGGAAAGAGTCAAGACTTGTTGAATCCTCTGTTCCTTTGTTAAAGTTGCCATCTCTTCTTGTTCCCAAAGATATTGATGAGTTGCCTGAATTTGTTGCAAAGTTTAGACCCCCCAGCTCACAGACTTCCAGGCAATCATTTATCAGAGAAGGAATGTACGCGAAAGACCCATACAAAACTGATAGTGTAGGAATTCATCGTCGAGATATTTTTCGAAAGGTATGCTAGGTACACTTTAAAAAGCTTCATGTTATCACAATAAGAGCCAATGTATACTAAATATTTCTGTGATGATTTGCAATGCTTAGCCTGAGGCGAGCTTGAGTTTTTGTCACCCTTAGTAACTGACAAACTTCTTATTGTTCCCATATTGCAATCAACTCAAACTTTTCTGATGTCATTTTTACAGTATTTGGTGAAGCCACAATTCATAATTTTAGTAAAAGATTTTCATGTCTAGCATTCTTGAAAAGGAAATCTAACTTCGAGTTTTCGTCTTGTTTGTTGAATTAAATCGAAATTTTCTTTATTAAAATTCAGTGCTAGAAATATTTAGTTAAAGCTTAAAATTTATTGACCTTAACATTTTAATTGTTTTCTTCATTTACAGTTAGAGGACTTTAAAAAGTTTAGCAAATATGGCATACAGGACTTTGACACCAGCTGTGCCGCTGATCCTCATGGTCTAAGATTCAAGCATAATATGTTATCAAAAACTCTTCCAGGTATGAAAGTTGGCAGTACGTAAGTTGAAAGTGAGACTTTGTTGATAAATTTAAATCTGGTTTTGGTTGAAACAAACTTCGTTTGCTCATGGCTGAAGGGGGACGTGGCTTGTGCTTGGACATAGCCAAGAACCATGTAACGCAAAGAAAGCTGTTAAGAATTGTTACTTCACTACAGATCAGCTATTGACGATTTAACCAGAAAAGAAATAGAGAACAACTGACAGATTTAAACGCGTTGCAAACTTTGTATGCTTGAAAATATACACAAAGTATGACAACCAGAAATGAATCAATTCAAAATCCAACCAATGGGTCATTAATTTTAAAAAAAGTTCTTTCTTATCGATACTATAAATATTTCATATGCATTTTCTGGCTATATCTAGAATGTCATATTTCAAAAATTTTCTCGCTGCCAACCATGGTGGCGGTTTTCACTAAACCATTGAACAATATAAGCATTTTTCCCTCGCTTGCAATGAAATTTCCCCCGAACTCTTTCCATGGTATCAATGTTCTGATCTCAGCTGCCTGAAAAACAATCAATGTACCTGGCTGCTCAATTCATGATCGGAAAAACATCGAACCTCGTCATGTTCAAATAGCAATTATCACATAAAAAACAATTTAAAAATTTTATAGGGCCCCCCCCCGTTAAAATTTTACAACTGCATCCCTGCTAGAAATGTGGGCAAATTTTTTGTCAGTGTCTTCCCCTCCCCCCCCCCCAGAAAAAATGCTCAATTTCCGCCACTGCTTTAGCTATTTGTTAGTTCTTTCTCTCAGTTTAGAACTTCAGACTATTGACCGAAAACTCTAAGCTAGGAAGTACATGTACCAAGTTGCGGGTCGAAATTGGCCAGTCAGTAAAACGAGCACCTAACTGTAATGGAGCACCAATCCAGTGCCGTTTTGAAATTCTGTTCCCTTAAAAATTGTTCATAAATATTTTGAGAAACCTTTTACGTAAAGCAGTGTTCGTAAACTGGTTTTTTTTTTAATTTACATTTAGTTTTTTGAAATCTAACAATTAAGGAAAATAAACAGTGCTGATTTGGCTATTATCAGCATCGTCCAATAACTTATTTGGCATATGCATACAAAAACTGCAGTTGCCTGATGATCACAATAAGCGAAGCGTGAAACTTGGAAAGGCAACTAAGAACAATTCTGTTCTACACGCTATAAGCGTGCACAGCTCGGCCCATACAGCATTGAGCACACGACATACCATTTACGGAAATTTTCGTACAAAATAGTATAAGATATCATTAACTTAACATTTATACTTCTGTTCTTTGTGTCATCAAATTTGACGTAAATATTTTATCTGCGTTGAAATAAATCTAACATTTAGTGATATTTCTTAATAGAACTGAGTACAACTGAACAGATATCGATACGAACCTGTCAGTCGGAGCCCATGCCTAGACTACACCAGCCACCAAAATGGGAAAAGCGCAACCATCTACCGAGATCAGTAAGTTTTTAGTTGTTCATTCAATAAGGCAAATTGCAATTCGAAGTGCAGCTTTAGATCGATGAAATACTAAGAAACTCTTCACACTCATAAGCAATCAATACATATAAGAACTAGATGAAACTTTTTTATCTTCAAATAAACAGAAATAGAAGGAAAAGAATCTTGATGCTTTTGTCATTCGTCAGTCATCTCTATCAAACTGAATTCTAGAAGACCGTCCCTTGCCTTGCCACAAAGGGGCTTGAAAACTGCAAAAACGCAAGATCCAGTGCGCATCATCAAATTTGGGAACAATTTGGTCAAATTTTTAAGTTTGGCCTAGTTTTGAGAGTCATGAGCTGGTTTTAGGTTACTTTTTATGATCAGTGACCAACCATAGTATATTTACATATCCACCCTGTTTCCACTGTTGAAATGCCACGCTTGTCTTTTATGGCAAACCCCATTTGCAGAATAGGATTAATAATATGATCTGCAGTGTTCCAGACCTACCACAACCCCGAGTGCAACACTGTATCCAAAATGAATTTTCTTGTATATAGCTTGGGTTCGGAAACTTAATGATTGCGTTGAAGACCTAGCGGAGCCTTCTTGACCATAACTTTTAATTGTTATTTTATCTGACCGCCTATTATAATTCAAAAAAGGCATACATGATTTTTATGAAGCGCAACTTCGAGCTCAAATGTTAGGATGCATTTTTTAGAAATCGTTTCATCCTATTCAATGAAAACTACCATAATTTTAGGCTTATAAAAGAGGAAAATCTCCAGGCACGGTACTAATGGACAGCGTACAAAGAAAAACTGTTTGGGTGGATGGTAAAGAGAAAACTGGTGGAATTATGAGACCTGACATTTACGACTATAAAATTAAAGATTGGTGTGAAGTAACACAAGCTCCAAGCGAAATTGATGGCCCATTTCCTTTGGCTTGAGAAGCTAAAAAGCATGTTGGCTTGACCTTAGACATTTTGACTAAGCGTCACATTTCATAGGTGCTGTAAATCTTCGAATTGCCCCTTTCCTCGTAAAAGTTCATCTCCCTTGAAATTGCAATTTTTTATAAGCCCCCATCCTGACATGTCACTTCTTACAATACATGGTTTTAGTTAATGACATAGAAAGCATAAAATAAAAAGAGTTCTAGAATCATCTTCGCAACGTTTTTTCTCAATATAAACGTAGTTTTTCAAAGTAAGCTTGAAAAAATATAAAAATTCCATAAAAAGCCTATAAGCATAGCGATCTTAAGATGATTCTAACAAGTCATCATCCTCTTTTAACCTTCCTTTCGAATCCTCACCCATTCAAAAATATCCTAAACTAATTAGTCAAAGAGGGCAAATTTGAGGCTTTACAGTAACACCGGCTACGACGATAAGAATCATTCCAATGCAGCTGGCTTCTTGATGGTTCGTTGCCTTTGGATTAGAGTTTTCAATAAGGACATGATGTAGCTAAAAAACCAAGTTTTTTGTGCAGTTGGGTTGATTATGAATTGTATATTATTAATAGAGCTAGTAAAATATTTTTGAAGATGTATGCCTTTTTCTAGATTTGAAGAACTATATCAAAATATATCGCATTTTCCAATTAAAACATCTGATTTATGATTCGAAAGTGGCTGCAGTCTTGAACTTATGGTTAGGCTTGGTCATTTTTTTATACTGGAAGGAAAAATAATTGGAACGGATTTTGCATAATTTAATAATCCTGCCTGAGTGAAGGAATATTTTCACTGACTAGAATTAAATGCTTAAAAGAAAAAGAAACTATGTGGTGATATCTGATCAATTTACTGTGACACAAGTTTGTCCAGGGAAATTGTGTAATGTTTGTGAAATAGGAAAGAAAGTTTGGGCAGACAACTGACATTGATTAACGTTTTGTTTGGAAAATTTGAAATAAATCTGATACTCCTGATATAATACTCCTGAAAATTTAACCTCCTTTAAACGAAACAGAGTTAATTTTATCAGTTCATCATCCGTGCTAATAGAAATTTCAGGTAGAACTTTATTGTTTAGAGGTCTTAGAAACAAACAACATGATGAGCACTCGAGCCTTAAATTGTTAAAAAAATAAGGACACCGAGCCTCGGGAAAAACAAGGGAAAATCTGGCTCTTGAAAATAGAATTGTAATGGGGGCAATGTGCTGGAAATGTCCTCAGGAGTATTTTTCAATTTTTTCTCGCTAGGCCGAGTTTTGCACTCTGTGAAGTTGTTGTGCAGATCTAATGACTGCTGTTGAAAACGAGACAACGAACAAAGTAAATGACTAAATGTAACCAGGCTGATCCTATCCACCTTTTCGGACTTCACTATTCATAACACCACTTGTTTTGCATAAAATCAATTAACAGAAGCCTTATGCAGCTCCAATTTCTTAAAGATTCTCTAAATATATTCTGTGTGTAGAAGTGTAGAAGTTATGAATTCTACGAAAAAATGGGCAGGTTTGGAAGGGTAGAAAGAGCCAAAACATTAAATAAACAGCGAGGTTATCAAAGGTCTTGACATGACAATTTATTGTAATTGTAAGCTCTTATTAGTCCTCTTTCGCATAATTTGTTAATATTAAAGCCATTAACACAGTACCTTCAAACAAAAGGGCGGCAATCAAAGTAGTTCTAAACAAAATTTTTCTTTTGGAAGTCTCTTCTTTCTTTTCTCACGAAGGCTGTTGCGTTTGCCAATGAATTGAATCTTAAGCCCTCCTTAGATGTATATTTTCACTTTACAGTCATATTCAACATTAATGACAATAGCCATGCCAAGTAGATTAGCCATGGATACTTCTTTTGTTGAGAAATATATATTTCAATGGTTGCTTGTTTTGACTATGCTGTCGGAACTCCAGAATGGAGCCTGACTGCACGTCCCATTATATTTCTATCCAGACATTAAATCCTTGATTTTTCTTCATTCTCTTTTATTTTTCATTAAACTTTTTCAATGTGGGTTAGGGTCATAAAAATCTCTTGTATGCAGCTTGCTAGTATGCAATAAGACGTTGGAAAGTTACCGAATTTGATCTTTTTGTCGCCCGGGCATTTATCAAAACTTTAACCATCAGCGACTCGTATTCGAGAGGGGCGTTTATTGAAAAAAATTGCTTACTGAAAGATAAATGATCTTTTTCAAATCGATTCACACGCTCTATATGAAGGTACAAATTCTAATATTTGCTCAACGTTCATCCTCTTCTTTATCCGAATCTATTACAGCTGTTAGCTTCTCTCCACGTTTGCTATTTCAAAAGGACCTGTTTTTTCACTGTTATCACAAGAAGTGATGGTCTTCAATTTTTCATATCCTGCGTTGGACGGCTTTATTCCATCTTTGAAATATGATACTCTTAAACATCTGCTTATCTAGACTTTCATTGTTAGGCGACATGGGCAAAACGCAGCAATGACTTGATGATGATAATTTTAGGACCTATTAGTATAAATGGGAGCCTACATAATACAAAAAATATTGAGAAACTCTTATGGAGAATTTCAATTGTTATGGAGAACTTGGAGAGAAGTTACAGAAAATAATAGAATGTCGTGGAGCAGCCGTTGTTGACTGTCTAACAATAGATTGAAGATGAGCGTGCAGTTACAAAAACGAGAAAAAAGCAGTAAAAGTACCATTGAAGTATAAAGATCCTACTCTTAAGTCTATTTAACATTAAGACCACTAGGAGAGAAGTTATCTAAACGATATGGTCAAACGCTTCACTCCTACTACCACTGCCAGTCGTTCAGAGAGCAAAAATCCACACAAGAACGTTTGGGAACCTGAGATTGTAGATAGAAAGAAACTGATCTCAAAATTTACTATATCTGTTAAAATTATTATTTAGAATAGAATTTATACAATAATTGCGTGTATATAACTTTAAAATCATGAAAATCATTGGAAAATATAACTGCATCGATTTAGGAATATACAGGCATTTTTAAGGAAGTACGTTATAAGGAAAGCAGTGCTCGAAAAAGGCCTAAACTCTTTGTTTTCTTTCAACCACTATAAGCAATGAAAATAATGCAGGTATGCAGCAACTATAGTACCGTCGAGGACCTCAGAAATTAATTTTATGATATCTTACTTAAATTTGATAATACGATTAAAAAGATGATGTCTCATTGAGTTGATCCTTTACATGTTAAAAAGTGTCTTCTGAGATCTTTATAACCAAATTTAATTGTTACTTAAAATTCACATGAAGACAAGGAATTTTGAAAACTCAAAATACCAAAATTGAATACCAAAATTCAGACATCTTACAGACACGTCATTTACTTAAGTTTAAAAATGAATATTCTAGTTTCTTGATAGATATAATAATTGCTTCTGTAGACTACATAGACTTTACAATTATACAAATGACAAATTTCATATACATACTTATATATATATATATAAAAGACTTAAAGCATTCGATCATAAATTAGGAAATATCAAATCTATCTTTTTTGTACTGTCCATTTTATGAATTGATGATTTCATCAAGAATCTCCAGGCTGTCTCTTTCATTTTTCTTCCTCCATAACTTCTCTTTGTATTTTCTTACTTCAACACCCTCCCATGTTTTGTTTTTCAGTGGTTTAAAATACCTGAGAGAAAACATGAAGACGAAATTCTTACTTAGTAACGTATTGCGAAGAAAACGCCAGTGCTGAAAGCCTTGTTGCATCTTCAACATAAAATAAATTCTCAGTAAGAACATTTGTAAACTGAAAAGCACGGTTCAGAAGAGAAGTAAATTTCACCAATTGCAATTCAATTGAAAAAATAATTTTTTCTGTTATTGCAACAAAAGATAACAAATTGCAAAATTCTTCTAAGAATCCAAGATCCATTGAAATATTTAGTATTTGCATGTATTATTAGTTACAAAGCAAATTTGACCGTCTCTTTCATGTGGCACATAGACTGACGAACATATGGAACATCTTTGATGTGTCGCGTTAAGTCTTTCGGTCGAAAATTCAAACGTCATGACTGCTTTGCTAATAATAAAATATGGAGAATAACAAGCGAAATGGAAAACAAGCAAAGGGCATAC